GTTATCGGATAAATAAAAATCCTCATCTCATCAGAGAAAATCAAACCCAGTTTCCTGAAAAACTTAACGTCTGGGCAGGAATTTTGGGAGATTGTACACTGAAAAAAAAGATTTCTTAAATTTAGAACACCTATCATCTTGAAAATATTTTTTTAATTTAAGTCAACTTGCTTTAAAATAAGAATAAATATTTGAACTAAAAATATTGATCTTCTTTAAAAAAGAATTTTGTAATTTTGGAAATATTCTAATATTAAGAAACATTTCTTGTTTTAAAAAGTTGCATGTTTCAATCCAAATATTAAATATTCTTGAAGGAAATCTTAGTTGGTTTCTTGGTACAATTGTTAATGTTTTTTTATATCAAGAATAAGATATATATAATATTTTTATATTAAAAATTAGATATTCTTAAATTTTTTTATTCGTTTTAATAAACAGTATTTTCTTTTGTCAAGAATACATATTTTTGAAATCGTGTAGGAGTGGAGATGCCGACACGTTCCTCTGAAATTTTATGCCTAATCAGTGTTTCTTTCTCTTTGTGAGGGAGAGGGCGTATTTCATTAGGTGTAGGTAGGTAGGTTTATTGTTTAAATATTTACTAGTATGCATTAAGGATGCCTTAAAATTATTTTATTCATAAATAAATAGGCTTTATAGTGATAACCAAAATATCTTATGTGTTTAACACTTGTATGGCTATATAATTTTAAGTTAATAAACTTATAAACTTAATTTATTTTATGACATTTGAAAAGATTTTGTTTTATAAGTAATTTTCATTGGCAATAGCCCTAAATTATTTTATATAATTGTTAATTGCTTTTCTACTCTGGCTAAAATATTACAAATTATTTAAAATGAAAAATATGTCGATAATAATGATTAAGTTCCCTACGTGAATTTATAATAAGGTATACATTTTAGATTTTTCTTGTATTAAAAACAAAATAAATGTGTTTTTTCAACTTTTGTTTTTTTATTTTGTTTGCACCTAGAAACGATACAACGTATACTTTGTCCCTTCAGTAAGTTTGGCTCAATTTTGAATAATCCGTAAGTATTTTTAATATTTAATATAAAGTTTTGTTTAAGATTAGACAAAAATCCTTAAAATATTACAGGATATTTAAAATTACTCCAGTCCCCTTCAAGTGTTTAGACATAAATTTATTTGATACACGAATATTTTTTTTTAGTGTAAATCAACGAGAAGAGAATAATGAACTAGTTTTGAATGAAAATTTATTACATTTTCAACAACACCTCATTATGTAGTAGCAGTTAGAGCTTGGATGGATCAGAATTATCCAGGAGAGTGGATTAGTAGACTATAGTCTATATTATATTATAATATAATGGCCTCCCAGATCTCCAGATCTAACTCCATTAGACTTTTTCTTATGGGGTCACTTAAAATCTGTGGTCTACAAAACTCAGCCTCATTCTATTGAAGATCTGCGACAACGAATAGTTGAATAGTAGAATGCCGAGCTATTCCACGACAAAGATTTCAAAATTTTCGAAGGGAATTTGCTTACAAAATAATATTTTTAATTTAAGAGTTGCATTGAATGCACATTTTTGCTGTAAACCAATAATTATTTAATTGAATTAAAAATTCGAAAACCGATTAGAACGTACATATAGAACACTTTTGTTTAAATCAGGCACTGTCTAAAGGCTTAGTTAATATGTAAATCGGATTTTCTCCTGGTTATTACAAATGCTTCGTTGTCAATTGCCGTTGATAATCTAAAACCTTATCGTAACACTTAAACTTAATTAGCCATATCATGTTGCCGATGAATTTTAGAAAAACTGTATTAAAATGGTAATAATTTAAGAAATTGGTGTACTTACGTTAAATTACAGTTATTATAGACGGTTAAAATCCATTTAAATTCGCCCGCTTTTCAATTTAGTTTAACATAAAAAAATTATCTAAACATGGCTCTTTAGTGTAAAGATTTTTAAGATTTTAAATATGTAGATTACCTTAGCTACATTTATGTTTATTACAAAATTTATTGTATATTAATGTGCATATTAAATCTATTTAAAGGTAAAGAATGCATGGTTTAGCAACTGGTAGACAAAAACACATGTGCTCTTAGACCACGCTGCTGAAGTAAATTTTTTCTTGGGCAATTCAATTAAATTAGTGCTTTTAAGCTTTCTTAAAACAAAAAAGATATTAATTTGAAAATTTCAAAGCGTTTATAATCCATTTTTCTCAAATATTTGAAACAAAATGCCACTTCCGGTTTAACCGGAAGTGACATCAACTTGTTGGTAAAAAATTACCTACAGAGCCCGCCCTTTGCACGACAGTGACTATATCTCAAAAACTGTTCCACTTTTTTAACTTTTGACGACATTTTCAGATGGTATTTGGGATACCATGGTATTCCATGATTAACCAATGGTTAATGGTTAATAACCATGTTGCAAGTGAAAAAGCTGCCACTAATAACTATTAAATTAGTCATTTTTGACTACCTAATTCATTTTTAGAGAGTATTCAATTAAAAATTTATACTTATATTCATTAATGGTAAACGTATTGCGATTACGTAGATTGTAAAAAGCGTCTTGGTTTTGTTGGCTCGATGTGAAGCTTCTATCTTGATATTTTAATATTAATTTTCTAAAACGGCCTAATCGAAGCGCGCACCTTTAATTAAATCGCGTGCTGGCCTAGCCATTAAGATAACAAAATCTAACTGTACTTTTATTATTATAAACAAGGAATTAAAAACTTTCGGATTTTTTGCTCTGTTTGGTGCAAGAAGCACTGCTCTTATCTACACACACATGCGCGATGTAATTTTCACGATCTTGTTATATAAATTGGTAAATTTTGTTGTTGGTTTTTTAATGCAACAATTAGGAATGTTGTGTGAAAGTTTTGTTTAATAGTTAACACTTTTTCGTATTTTTTAATAAATTAAGATGTTGTCTATAGTATTTTGTAAAAAATTGTCCTAAAGTAATAAAATTCACAGTGCTTTTTTTTAATTAAAAAGTCTTAAATTTAATTACAGAAGCGTCATTAAAATTTATTAGTTTGGCAAGATCTGTTATCTGTTATCGGGAATCTAACATGCAATTTGGAATATTTAAGCAAGATCGTGACTACTGGTCGGTGTTTTTTTCTAATCTATTTAAGGGGGAAGTATACTTATAACGACCTTAAGGCCGGATAGTCGCAGACGATCAGGTCAACGGTCCATTTATTGAAAAATACACCTGTACAGTCCTCCACCTAAGTCACTATTAACCATTATATAACAGATGTCAAAGACAAAACTTTTTATAATCATATGATCATAGATGAAACCTGCTTAATTGGAGTGGATCTCACATGGCTTGAAGTTTTTTAATAAATGATGTATTATAGTACTATAAAAAAAGTTGGGCAACTTTTGACCTCATTTTGTTTATGAGAACATAGATAATATAATAAATATACTGTTCCAGACCGCGCCAGTCACTTTTTCAAACAGTTTCCGAAATATCTGTGTTTTCTAAATTTGAATGCAAGGGAAGTGACGAGTATACCAGGGTACTAATTAAATACAAAGATTTATTGGAAAATATAATATTTATTGCAACTTTGAGCATATTATACATTAAATATCTTAAAATCAAATAATAACACACATCAGTGGCGGCTGGTGGATTTTGGGTATACCGATATCTCAATTATTAGATGTGGAACCTACACCAAATTGATATGAGTTTATAATGACATTAAATAAACAAGTTCTGCGCAGGCAGAATTTAAATTGAAGTTGGCGAAAAAAACATCGAACATGGAACTGACGACACGGTACTGATGAATGGGATACAAATTTGAGATTATAATCTACGGAAAAAACTAAATGTCACTATTTAGTAGGATTTCTACTAATTTTTATTGTTTTAAATGTTAACGAGGAACCTCCCTCGGAATTTGTTACTTATTACAAAGTAAAATGTTAAAATATATATAAGCGGTTCACTAAAATATATTATATTTAAAAATAAATAAAACAGTATTAAAATATAATTTTTAACCTTTTAAATAATAAAATTCTCTATCTTGGCAAGTATAATTTAAAGGAAGAGTAACCAAAATGTGACAATGACTTTATTAAATATTAACTCTCAACCCTTAAATTTTAATATTTTAAACACTAAATATCACCAAGTTCGATATATATAATTTCACATAAGACAACATATTTTTTAATTTTTAACTATAATAAATATTCAAATCTGAATTTTAAATTTTATCGTTTCAAACAATAAAAATATACAACCCTACCGATTAAATATTTACTTATAGAAATATAGTTATTAACGTTCGGTTCTGCATTTTTTAAATACTAATAAATTATTTTTTATAATGTTTTTTATGTATTTATTATAAAATATACTATAAATTTTAATAATTCAATAATTAAATTATGTTAAGTAAGATCTATAAATAATACACTTTTTATAAATAGTAATTTTTATTTAAGAAAACCATAAAATCTATAAAATAAAAATAAAACTTAATTCTAGTTGGATGAATTTTTTACCAATAGTTTATTACATAATAATTTCCATTGCATTGTTTGGCTATATATGAAATGCCATCAATTTCATCTAAAGAATGAAAACGAAGATTTTTACTATCAGGATCGACACAATATGCTTGGTAATGCGCATCGAAATAATAACAATCCAAATGATGGGAAACAAAATAAATTTTTTTGTTTTCATAAAATAAAATATATACAATTTCTGAAAAAGATGGACCAAATTCAGTTAAAACCATAATTATATCATGAGGATATACATTTCTTCCTAAGCAATACGCATATTTTAAAGACACAAGTTTTTCACATTTAATTTCAGTCGGTATTAATGAAACAAATTCTAAAAAATTATTCAATTTATTAATTGATTGTTGTTGTATAGGACCAGGATCGGGTAGGCATTTTGAGACGGCTTTAGTGCATAATTTATGGTGTAGCGTTAACTGATTTTTTATTGCTAGTGTATGACATATATTTTTTCTCGAAGAAGTTGATTGAGCACGAATTTTTGCATTTCTGTGAAAACTTTCTCCCCTCATCGAAGAAAAATGTATAACCGGGCCAGCCAATTCCATTACAAGCGCATAATGGAGTAAATGATGGTGTTTTGGTTTTTGATTTTTTTTTAATAACACGCTGGTAAAGACCTAAATGATCTGCAATAAGTGTTCGTAGTAAATCAGGACATTTATAATGAAAAGATTTAGCTTGAAGTATATTTAATATTTCATTGAGAGATAAATAAAGAGACCAAAATTCATCATCTTCCGGAATTAAATCACCTATAAATAAACCAAAATGCCTCATGAAGCACAGAGTTTCAGACGCAGATAATTTAAGATGCAATTTTTTTATATTTGAAGGAATTATTTCCGGTGGTTTATTTTTACGCTCGCTACGATTAAAAGAAAAAGCGTCGATCCGGTTGTTTAAAATCTCTTCATCTATAACTTTTTTCACGTAAATATAATAATTTAATATTTCAGCTAATTCGTATTTGCAAATACCCTCCAATAAGTCGTGCATTACGTCGACGCTAAAATTAACAGCTACATGAAAATGTTTAACTTCATTCCAAACACATTTTTCTTTAACACCGAAATTTTCTTTTTTAGGTTCATCAAGTGATTCTATTATTGAGTCATAACTTTCTTTTGTTCTTATTAAATCAGGTAATTCTGTAGTAGCGGTAAAAGAACATTTTTTATCCATGATGCAACATCGGCACCAATAAGAACTATTGAACGATTCATTAAAACCAAGAATAGAGTTTAAGCCCAAATTGTCACCTAAAACTAAACCCAAACAAAAAAAGATACGTTTCTTTTCGTTATCAACTTCAACTTCGATTCCTTGAATAGCTAAATAATTTAATTCATCAATTATCTTTTGAAATATTCTTTGATTTCCAAAAATTTGTCTATGCAAAGAAGTAAAATACTGGAATAAAAAAATATTATCTAATTTACTATATAATTCTGGAGGCAAACAAGGAAGGGAAATATATACAGCACCGATTTTTCCGCCATCACCAGCATGACTCCCTAGACAATTATTAGTTTCAAAATCGTCAAAATAAAGAAATAATGGTAGAACAACATCATCGGCATGATACTGAGATAGTATTTTAGACCATAAAGTACCCTGAGTAAAATTAGATATAGTATCAGTATCAGATTTTACTAAATCCATGTAAAGGAGAGTTCTTTCCAGAATAGTGGGTAGTTCAAAAAATGCTTTTAAAACTTTGCGCATCGGAATAAATTGTGTAAATACTTCTTGAGAACATATTTTTGTCACTCCATTTACTGTTTTGGTACTAGGAATTGACCCAAGCAATATACACTCTGGCTGAATCAGAGTGCCTTGCTCTTTATATTGCTTGAATCTTAAATATTCAGAACTAAGGTCATCGAAAGGCTTGTTAATTTGGGAAAACAAATTAATTACATCAGACGATACACTATCAGAGACGTTATTGTCAATTAAAATACTAATGGTTTTATCCGCTATGGAATCCAACGATCTTTGATAAAATGTACTGACGTCATTAATAATGAATTGAATTTCTTTACGTGAAATGTTTTTATTTGCGTACCACTTTGAAGTTAAATCATAAGCGTCTTGCTTTATATTAAATTCAGTTAAATTCGGTTGAAATAATTCATCCAACTTTTCACAGATTTCATAATTTTTTTTCATATAATTTTTATAAATGGACTTATCAATATAAACTAAATTTTGATCATTCAAATTAAAATTAAAAAAAAATTCTTCGTTCCCATCATTATTTTTGTCACTTTCAGTAGTATTATTTTCGTCAGCTTCATGATCATAATCTTGAAATTCTTCTACAATACTTTTTTTATTAATTTGCTTTTTACTACTAGGTTTGTGATGCCTAGGTTGATAAAAATGAATATTTCTTAAATGTTTCCGAAAACTTTTAATGCAATCATACTTTCGTGTACAAGATCCCAAACATTGATATGATTGCATTGGATCATCCAGCCCATGTTCGTAAATAATATGTTTACTGAAAGCGACATCAATGCTAAACACTTTGGAACATTTGCATATAAATGACATTTCAAGAAACTAAAAAAAGTAACTCTAAATATAAATAAAAAATATTGGTATTTTTAAAAACTAATGCTTAACGTAGTGTTAATTTTCCAAATGAAAATTAATACTGAGTTCACCTACTAGAGTTGTTACCGACATTGGAATTGGTTGCTCCTGTTGGATGTCTAGTTTGAAAACTGCCTGTTCGATAAAGAGCCAGGCTGATTTTGCTTCCGGAGGGTATTGTGCGTTTAAAGCGTAGTATGTTTTAAATGCAGCCTCTACGCTTCGGACACTTGATTCCAAATCATATAGTATTTCGTTAATATAAATATGCGATGAAATGATGTTTTCTACACATCCAACGATTACTGGCCTTGGTTGAAGGGGTAGTTTGTAAGTTGCTAAAGTGTTTTGCAATTGACTTAAACTTGTTAAAACATTATTAGCAGCCTGTAGGGAATAAACAAAAAATAATAAATTAGTTTATTCCAGTGGTAAATAAAAAAACGCGCAAATGTTTTTAAATTGTGATTAAACTAACCTTAACATTAAAAATGAATCCTCCACGCGCTTCAGGTTTCGAAGGGTTCCATCCTTTAATATTTTCAGATTTGTCTCTTTTAATTTTTTTTTTACTTTTTGAACTGCTTACGTCGGTTTTATTTGTAATAAACTTAGGCTTTGGAAAAGCCGCTGATAGAAGCAAAAAAATTGCTAAATCCAAAGAATCTGTTGAAAAAATTAATAATTAGTATAAATAATATTAATAATAATTGTTAACAAATACTTAAAAATAATTATAATTTATTAAAAAACAATAATTTATAAATAATTCATTACAATTAATAAGGAGCAGACTTTCATAAGGAACCTTGTCCATTTTCTAGATTTTTCAGTAATCGAGAAAAACCATGATACAAACAACTAACAAAAACTAACAGATGTGTATTACTAAAATTGTAAAATTTACACGATTTAAAAAAAAAATTGTATATATTATTATTTAGATCCATTAATAAATCACAAAAGTCATTAATTGGTTTTTCAAGAACATTTTTTGTCTAATGGAGAAAGCTATTTTATTTAATAGTTAGTCTAGCTTATTTTTAAACATAAATATTTTCGTTAAATAATGAGTTTATAGTTTTTTAATGTTAATGGTCTGGTTGCTAACTATAGAAAGTATCTAATACCGCCCTTATGTCGAAATGTCAAAATTAATCCTTATGAAAGTCTGCTTCTTAAATATTATATCGTGGGTTGAGTATTATAATGTTCTGACCTCAGTTTTGACTGTATATAAAATGATGCAGTTAAAACATTATAATACTTAACCCACAATATGTTATCAAACTTACCCTCTTTAAGGAATGGTAATCCTAATGCTAAAGCTTGAAGCTCCGGCTCCACCGGTTTTCTGGGGCCGTTAAATAAATATATTAGCTGTTTTCGAACTGCGGGCCAATTTTCATTAAAAGCATCTTTTTTCCCGGGAAATTTCAAGTTGAAATCATGTTCAAGCTTTTAAAATAAATATTATTACCAAAAATATATACAGTGCTTGCAATATCAACTCCGACCGCACTGGAAAGGACGGCTGTTCAATACCCGCGTGAAAAGAACAAGGATAGAACGCCAAATAGAATTTGATTGGCCAGCCGGCAGGCTACGACAACGCATACCCATCGCGCACCTCGCAGCGTGGTTGACACGAGGATATCAGAACCACAATGGATTGTGATCAGAACGAGAACTGCAGTGGTGCGAGCAAGAGGTAGTAATTTTAGTGAAAAAGATTATTTAATTAAAAAATGTACACGTTAGAACAAAAAGTTCAGATTTTAATCTGGCATTTTGCTGGTAATTCTGAACGAGAAATTCAAAGATTATTTGCGGGAATGTTCGAGGCCAGACCAAACAGAGAAACAATTCGACGAACCGTTAATAATTTTTGAGTTTATTTATTTTTATTATTTATTTTTAGAGTTTTATTTTTATTTAGAGTTTTATTTTTATTTATACCTAGTTATTTTTATTCAGAATTATTTTTTATTTGAGAAATCTTTTTTCTCGATTTTTATGTAAGAATGTCATATTCTTGCACGCAAAATCGTTGAAGAATGAAGCTCATTCTTAAACGATTTTTGGTAACATTTAGTTTTTAAGTATTGGTACCCCCAAAATGTCAAACTGATTAATAACCTCAAATTCATTACTTTTAATGAAAATGAAGCCTTTATTATTGTTTTGTAATATTAAGCTTGCTCCAACAATGCATTTTAATGCAAAATTTTAAGTTTAATGTAAAAAAGTGCAGTTCAGGTTGTACTTGTGCAGGATAACAAATATTGTCATTTTGTGTTGCCAACTGACATTTTGCGAGAAAAATCCCCTAACTAACAACGACCACAAAACAATTAAAAAAACCTAAATAAAAGTTAAAATCGAGAAAATAGTATAAATCACACGTTGCAGAAGGCTATTCTGGCACTCATTCGTTCGTCCACTCGCTCCTTCGTCGCTCGAGGCCAAATTTCGAATTCGTGCGAGAATATGTGGCCTTCTGCAACTTGTACTTTAATATACTATTATTAAGAATACTATTTTTGTTGTTGCCCTAGTTCTCAAGGAAAAAATCAAAAAATTTTATTTTTAGGATTCGGGTACCTATAAAATATTTAAAAAGAAAATTAAAATGTGCATCTACACTCTTACGCAGTTTGCTTGACACTAAATCATTTAGTCTAAATGCAGCCAGACTGAGAGTTGACCTCGCTTACAATTCGCACGCATCCGGCAGCCGGCTCTGGCCAATCAAATTCTATTTGGCGTTCTATCCTTGTTCTTTTCACGCGGGTATTGAACAGCCGTCCTTTCCAGTGTGGTCGGACTTGGATTTGCAAGCACTGTATACATAAATATAGGTATGAATAAATAAAAATATCAAACCTACCAATGCATATCCTTTAGTTTGTTTCAAACATGGAAACTTCTTAAAATAATCACCTATTGAAGATTTTATTAATTCGGCCTCTTTTTGCCTTTCCACGTAACTATTTTTCCAATGATATACAACACTTTCCCAAGGCTCTATGTATTTTTGAATAAATTGGTAACTCTCTGAAATAACATTGGTCGGCTCTTCTGCAATAAAAATAAAATAACAACAATAATAAGTTAAATTACAGTCTCAAATTAATATATTTACCTAAAGCGATTCGCGGAAAAATAGTTGGTTTGGCAGTCTTTTGTTTTTTAAGATGCTGTGAACGCATATAACTATTACATGCAAGCAATAATCCACGCGCGCATTGAACTGCTGCTCCTCCACTTGCGCCAGAGTGTGGTGTATAATAAGTGCCCTCAACCTCACTTTGGAAAAAAATTACAAATTTCCGAAGCGAGCTCTATGTACCGCGATGCTGGAAGACACTCAACTGTCGGCTTTCCCTCATGCTCTTTATAGAGGACTAAACGCCCGAGCAAGTTGCGGGTAGATTTGTTTAATGTTTTATTTAAATTGTAATAATTAAGGACATTCAATCCATGTGGATGTTGCTTAAGTAATTTTAAAAGTCGCGAGTCCTACAAAATTCAAATATTTTTTTATTATAAAGAGACAAAAAACTATATTTTTAGATTTTTAACGATATATGGTTAAAAATCTTTGAACATTTTGAATACTTACCTGTTTTTGTATAATTGAACTTTCGTCAGAATTTAAAGGGTTCAAAGATGTTCTGTCAACGGAGTAATTATTATTATAGGCTGTGTTAATTATACTAAAATTTTGTTGATTACTCGATCCAGAAGGTGTTGGTAAATGTGTAAATGAATTTTCGCCAACACAGTTATTATTAATATTAGCTGTGTTATTTATACAATGACTTAAAATTTGACAGTTATTATTGCTAGATCCAGAAGGTGTTTGCAATGGAGGTAATAAAGTATGATACTGCTTTTGATTAGCCTACAAAACAATTTTTGTAATTAATGAAAATGTATTATTTTATATAAAGAGAGTATGTACGTATGTATACATACATATGTACATTTTATATGTATGTATGTACGTTTTAGTAGCAGGAAAAATGTTATGATCTTAATGAAATATACGGAGTGAAAGTTGATTTTTAATGTTAAAAATGTTTACTTTGTTTAATAGAAACTATATATTTTTTAATATTGTAGTTAGTTAACAAATTTAACAATAAAGCTATTTATTATAATTATTATTAATTTAATTTGAATATAAACATAAAAACTATATTGTATTATTCTTAAATAAAGGTAATTTTAGAATATGAAATAATCCAAGGATTAATTTTAACCCAAGGATTAGGTTATTTACTTGACTACCTTATTGTTTTACCCGGTTTTTTACCTTATATTATATTGTATAGTATTATATATAAGACTAAAATATAGTTATGATGTTTATATTCAAATTAACTAAAAAAGCGGCCGTTTGCAGAAATGCAAATATATCGTTTAGGTATAGGACATATGTATATGTCAAAAGAAAGAACAATATGTTTACCATATAGAATAAATAAATATTTTTAACTTTAAACATTTCCTACTTTTACGCGGTATAAAAAACACCCTATTGTTTTGAAAGATTATATAATTTTCTTGGAGCTTAGTTTATAATAATGAGATGCATACTACATAAGATAAAAAATAATTTTGTTGACTTGTTCATGTTTAAGTTGTAGCGATTGTCTATGGGGCGCCGTTCGTCCGTAAATTATTTTTGCTATTTATAAGAATATTTTTTATATATAAACTTTAAATTTCCTATATATAGAAACTTTTTAGTTCAGATAATGCTGCTTGAGAATGAGGGCGCTTTGTGGTATTCAACTAAAAAGAACTGTTGCCAGAGTGTGCCAATGCAAAGTTTTGATAAGTGTTTCCAACATAACGGATCTTCGGCCAGATCTAGCGGAACAAAATGATAGCAAAAAGTATAGGATTTTAGTTTTTTTTTAATACTTTTAGGTAATATATTGGTCGGTTGGTCTATTTTTATTGAATAAAACATTTCTCTTCTTTGGCCGTCTCTATTTCTCTAAATAAACACGGCTTCGTTTTTACTAATAGGTATTTAAAAAAACTAAAATTTCTTACGTTTTGCTTCTCTTGTAAATTTATAAAAAAACAAAGAATTTTTTTTTTAAACTTGGACTCTTACAAATTAAATTATATACAAATTACAAATAATTACAATTACAAATTAAATTATATAGGTACAAATCTTATGACAAATACCATTCGATATTATGTTCAAGTTTTCGTTAAAAAATCCGTCAGCCGTAAGAGTATCTTTTTTCCCTCGAACTTTATTAAAATCTGCCAGATCTGGCGAAACGTTATGTTGGAAACACTGACCAAAACTTTGCATTGGCACACTCTGGCAACAGTGCTTTTTAGTTGATTACCACAAAGCGCCCTCATTCTTAAGCGGAATTATCTGAACTAAAAAGTTTCTATATATATATAGGAAATTTAAAGTTTATATATAAAAAATATTCTTATATACAGCAAAAATAATTTACGGACAAACAGCGCCTCATAATTGTCTGCATTTAAAAAAAATACTAAAACTTGAGTATACTTAAAAAGACTCAACAGTTTCTTAACTAATATATCCACAAAGTATACATACTTATAAAAGTGTGCAGAATCTAAAAATGCAAAAAAATACAGGGTGTTGCATTGAAAATAAAAAAGTTAGACATCAAACACCCTGTATAAATAAAATATACTATTAAAAAAAATTCATTTAGATCACAAAAATTTTCCTCTTACAAATTTTGTATAACTCCAGAGGTAAGTATATCCACATTAGGGTTAACAGATTCTGTCAAAAAAAAATCGGGACGATTTGTGCGAATTAAACTTAATTACAAAATTGACACAATCAACAATAATTAAGTAACGTCAAACTTACAATTTGCATTGTATCATTATATCAATTTTGTAATTAAGATAAATGCATACAAAATGTCCCGATTTTTTTTATAGAATCTGGTAACCCTAATATAATCCCCATCTTTTAAAAAACTAAAATAATTTAAATTTTGTATTTAGTTTTACCTAACAGAAGTAAGTTCACTATTTTAAGTAAGTATTTTTGTTTTTACTTATTACTATACCGGGTGATTGTTTTTAATTGTTAGTTAAATACCAAATAATCGGAAAAAAATAATCATCCTTAAATTAATTTTTGTTCATTTTTGTTTAGATATACCTAAATGCATATCTACCACCGAATTTTAATAAATTTTCTTTTATATTTTGAAAGATATTAAAAAAATATCATAAATTAACACCCTGTAGTTAAAATAACTTTTTGCATAAGAATAAAAATGACAAATTCTTTTACCAACTATTAGTTTTTGAATTATAAAGATATAAAAATTGAATTTTATTCTTGTTAACTATTTACCTATACAAAAGGATTGAAAACAAATTTCCAAACGTTTCCAAAATATAAAGTTATAACTTTAGTACAAAGTTATGTAGGTAGGAACTAGAAAAGATTACTTATATCATATAAATTATATTAGGAAAAAACTTAAGTTGTCACCAGGCATAATAATAAAAAATAAAAATATTTTAAATATATATAAATATATATATATTTAGCATAAAAATGCATACCAAATTTATTTATAAACAAATATTAAAAAGTAAAACCTACTTCATTTTCTGAATTCGCTGTGTCTGGTAACTGTACAGGAGTGCAATTTGTATTTTGCAAACTATTATAACCATAATCACCCATCACCCTTTTTTTAACAAAAACAATGATATATATATTTTTAGATCGATAAATGAGAGCGTAAGGAATAAAATAAAAAAGGGTTATGAACAAGCCTAAAAAAAGCAAGATGAAAGAATAAAGTTATGAAAGAAAGATGTAATTAAAATCATATAAAGCTACCAAAGTGGTAGTTTTATAGAAAACATTTTAAATTTAAAATTATTTAAAAAAAGTTACTTACCTGTTCTATAGCACCGCAATTTTGGAACTAAAACACAATTTATTTGCGACTGATGCAACCGGAGACAAAGATGCAACTTTATTAAAAATTTACGGGCGGCCTTTCGATATTGTTTTGTCTACTACATGAAGGACAACGGGTTACCAAGCGCGATATGCGGAAGAAGGGATAGATTTTCGCGTTTCAAACGTGAAAAAGTATAATGTCAAACAATAAAAATTATTGAGTTCCAATGATACTTTATACAAGTTGAAGAATATTCTAAGTATCAAGTAAATTTAGTAAGGAATATAAAATTTACTATTTCACATGGTACATTTTATGGACCTCACTGGTGAATTGTATTATTTTTTTTTAATATTAAGTATAATTAAGAATTTATTATTTCATATATGAAAAAGTACTATCCAATATTGTTTCTGTACAAAATATAACAACTACATATGTCAATTTTATTACATAAGAGGCATTAAATTTTTTTATTTTGATTTATAAATTTTATGTTTTGGTTTTATATTTTTTATCTTTTCGACTTCATATTTTAACCTACAAAACTATACACATTATAGCTTTACTTATCAATTATTACAATCCTACTTTTTTAACGAGTAAATCGTAATTTTTAAAATATGGAATACTACTTTTTTACAAATAAACCATAAATTTGATCATTTAATTAATAATTATTATGAAGTAAATGTCAAAACAAAGAGATTATTATTTAAAATAGTAATAATTAGTGATATTATTATTACTTATTACGCATCAATATTTAATTAGTATAATTCACTTTTTTCCGTATACAATTCGAAATTAGGTATTTTACTGATATTTTTTATTAGTGGATGCTACTTATCAACAAGTTGGAAAATAATAATAGCAACATAATTTTGTATGCACATGATACAAATATGCTAATAAAAAACAATGATTTAAACGATCTTGCTTCTGAAGCCTCCTTCTTTGACGCAAAAATTTGGGAATTGGTGTAACAATAATGGCCTTAAAGTAAATATTGAAAAAACTGTTTATACAAGATTTGTTACAAAAAATATGTCCTAAGATTATGATCTACATATTAAACTTAACCATATGACTATCCCATCAGTTCAACAAACAAAATTTTTAAGTGTCCAAATTGATTATAAATTAACCTGGGAATACCATACTAATGTTTTGTGCGAGAAGCTTAGCTCTATAATGTTTTTGTTTCGATATATACGTAGCACTATAGATGTCTCAGTTTTAAGAATGATGTACCATGGTCTTGTCCAATCAAAACTTGCCTATGGAATTATATTCTAGGGTAAGTCCTTCTTTGCAAACAAAATTTTTATTTTGCAAAAAAACATTTTAAGATGCATGGCTGGCAAAAACCAATCTTTTTCTTATAAAATTTTATTTAAATCCTTTAAGATTCTAACTTTACCTTGCTTATATATACAAAACCTAATACTATACATATACAACATTAAGCAATCACTTCAATGTTATGATAATATACATCCATACGAAACAAGAAATAAAAAAAAATTGTATCCCCCTTACTCAAGGTTATCAATAAGTCAGTCTAGCCACATATACCAAGGTATTAAGTTTTGTAATAAAATTTTTGATTTAATAAAAAATTGTCAAAATGTTAATGTCTTGAAACATCTTCTTAATATATTGTTTATAGATAAAGTTTATTATAGCGTAGACGAATTTTTAAGTGATAATTTTAATTAAGTGTTTTTATTTATTGTGTAATTTTAATAGTAAATATATATTTGTATTTTATATCGAGTATTTCTCTAATTATTCTGTTTTGTATATATTGACTAGTCTAATAAGTATTTCACTGCTGTCTTTTTAATGCTTTAAGGATGAATAAACTATTATTATTATTATTATTATTATTATTATTATTATTATTATTATTATTATTATTATTATTATTATTATTATTATTATTATTATTATTATTATTATACTCTATTGACTGATGACATCAAGTTGTCGACCTTTTGTAGAATCACCCATAAACTATTTTATTATTTCCCCTAAATGTAAAAAAATATCCTGTCTAAGAATGATCGAAAAAAAATGTACTGCTTTCTTTGACAATGCACCTTCTTATATAGAAGATCTTTTCGATAAGATATATTCCCAAAATAAACTATTATAACCGATGATAATCGACGGTTGTAGCTTATTTCCAAACAATCCTCGCGAGAAACGAAATAGCATATTAGGAATAAACAATCCTCGTTAGGTTCAGCTGAACCAAATTGGCCGCAAAGGATAAAACGAAGTCGGCCATGGGAACCGATCGCACCCGGTAACTAGATGTTCGTCGCCTACCGCGTTTCTGCGTTTGTCGCTCGTTTTATACGATTGCAACGCTATCTCGATCTGGATCCTTTTAGCGCGCCCGCTTCGCTTTCATCTGCGATAACAATTAGTCTTATTAATTTTTTCGAAATTAATTTGAATGGTAATGACATCCGCGGCATACGGAAAAACCGTTGAGGACGGGCCAACGTCTTGGGCAGCTGATTCAAGACGGAAAAAGCGGCAAAACCACCCCGCGCACCATATGTTATTAAAAAGGAGTTACGTTCTTACGTACAAGTAACATTAAGGGTGCTAGTAATTCTAGGGGGTGCAAGACAGGCCTATCAGATGTATTATTTTATTCGAACGTTCCTTAACTATATATTTTAATGGGCGCAAGGTGCACTAAGCCCTAAATAAGACATTTTTTTACTAATTGGAGACTTAGTCAAGGGTTAAAATAAAAATTAATTACAATGTTGAAATATTTAAAAAAAAATAGGTTCTATTTTATTAATATTAAATTTTGTATGTACACACTGAAAGAAAAAATTGGTTAAATTAACCAATAAATGGTTAAATCAACAGTCAATGTTTACTTGAACCATTCTTGAATGTTAAAATATAAATGTTGTTTTAACAAATTAAATTATTAATTTAAAATTTCAGAAATATATTTCAACATTTAAACCTTTTTTGGTCTAACCACTAAAAATATTGAAATAAAATACCCGGATTATTTAAATAATATTATCGTAATATTTAATCAAATTATTAAAAATATTAATTTAATGCACAATTAGTAGTGAAATAATAAACATGGAAGCAGTTTTAATCTTTAAAATTACTTGGATTGGTTAAAAAAATTTATTGTTAATTAAAATAATGATTTAAAAAATTTTCCTTTATGTTTTATTTAAAATATTGGATAATTAAACCAAATATAAAAAATGTAAATGTAACTAAATGAAAAGGTCAAATAAAATATTAAATTTATTTTATTTATTTATTAGAAAATATTTATAACACAAAATAAAAAATAATAGATTTAAATAATTTTTTTACTTTTTTTTTGAATTGTTTTATACAAAATATAATCAAAATCAAAAAAATTGGATTTTAACAAAAAAATCCGATTTTTTTATTAAAAAAATGATTTTTTTAAACCCCGGTTTTAACCCCACTACTTAAATACGTATACAATACTTGAATATGTAATACATATTATACATATTATGTATACTAGGGTATAATTCATGTAATATTCTCGTCACTTATGCTGAAAAAAAATTCTGTAAAAATTTGAGCTCTTAATATTAATTTTAAAAGGTCCATCATCGAATTTAAAGTTTTCACATTGACTTAACATGAAAAAATAGGTTTTTAAAATTTATTTCGCCTGCATACTATGTAGAACTTTTTTTTGATAAACAATCACTAGTCCTTTTTTAGAGTCCAGTTTGTAGATTCTACTCTTTCTTTTTTATGTTGAAACGTAATTCTAAATAAAATTGATATTTTTACATTTAGCGGCTAAAGTATACTATATATTAATCGTAGAAGAAAAAGTTAATTAGAAATTTTGAAGATCTTTTAATGCTCTACAAATTTGTTTTAAGCAATTTTTTTTATTACCTACAACTCAAAAGTTAGTGTCTAAAATCCTATTTTCATTATTCTAATCATTATAATATTCACTGTAGAAAAAAAAAGTTTAGGGACAATTTTGCAGGAAATTCGAAGTTCTATAAATAACGTACCAAGATTCTTCAATACACAAAATAGGTTAACTTTTATGATATTCCTAATTTCATGATCAAGTTTTTGACTGCAAAAAAATTTATACTTCTCTTCAAACCAGTTTTGAAATACTGAAAATAATTTTTAAGGTTTAAAATCATTTTCAGTATATCAAAACTTTTTTGAAGCAAAGCATAAAATTTTATTTGCAGTGAAAAGCTGGATCATGAAATTAAGAATATCATAAAAGTTTTAGCTTAAATTCAGCGATTAATTGAGTGTGTTGAAGAATCTTGGTACGTTATTTATAGTGCTTCGAGTTTCCTACAAAATTGTCCCTATATTTTTTTCCTACACTAAATATTATAATAATATATTATGCATAATCATAAAAATAGGATTTTGGCACTTATAACTTTTAACTGTAGGTTTAATTGTTTAAAACGAATTTGTGGAAGAGATCTTCAAAATTGCTAATTGACTTTTTTTCTACGATTAGTAGTTTAGCCGCTAAATGTAAAAATATCAATTTTTTTAAAGAATTTATACGTTTTAACGTTAATAAAAAAGAAACAGTTGAACTACAGACTAGACTTTTTGTAGAAAATTCCACACCTGTAATTTTTAACCAATCAAAACGTGTATTTTTGATAGATCACCATGGCAACGGTTGAATTTTAGTGGAAATTTTTTCCTCGTGGGTACCCAACAGCGAATTATACTG